GCTTAGCTCAGCTGAAGGTCTGTCTGGTTCTTGCTTGGGACAATGAGTGGAAACCAGGTTGCTTCAGCATGAGTGTGGGAAGAGGAACAGAAGTCCAGCCAAGCAGTGCGATCTTTCACAAACTGAGGTCACTGCCCACAAGAATTAGGGCTGTCCTTGGAGCACCGCTGTGTTGCTATGCACTGCTTCTTGGGGTGAACTTTCTGGCACTTTCTGGTGGTCTGAGCTACCTGTGAGGAAACATCCAATAAAGTACTCTGTTAATTATTTTCTAGATGTCAGCTTGCGAACTTCTGTTTCAGTGCCTCTTGTTTACAGCTTTATGGTTTTGGGCTGGTGATGGGACCGTGTTTATCATTAGGACTGTGTCATCTCCTGGGAGAGGCCAGGCAGGAAAAGCATAGAATAGAATCATGGATGCATGTTGCTTGTTCTCAGTGTTAAGAGAAGAGGCAAGTGCAGGAGCTGTGTGTGCTGAGCTGGAGCGGCCTGGGGATTTGTGCCCAGGAAGAACACAGGTTTGCTCTCCCAAAACCAATGCCCATCATGGCTCTTAGCTCTTCCATGGATGAGGTACAGGAACAGCTGAAATAGCAAGGGACAGGCAACCAAGCTAAATTAACCTTGAGGGAGATCATGCTGGTAAATTCCTTCTGACTCATCCTGTTCCTAAATTCAAGTCTGGACTGGGATCTACCAGTGGGAAACATGAGAACTGCAGTGATGCTCAGCAACTATCTGAGTTGAAAGCAAAGTGTGAAGATTGTAGCGGGGACTCTTGCAGAGGGTGTCTGTGCTGAGCATCACAGAAACATTGCTCCAACAGATAACTAAGCAGAACTTAAGCAGCTCCAGAATGAGGACCCTAGTTATGGTACACAAGAGCTGGCTCCTGTCCTGAAAATCTTACCGTCAAACTAGCTTGGTCATCCCATCCTAGACTAACAAGGCATCGGGCTCTCCAGGTGCTGGAGGGACGTCAAAAGCACCTGCAGTTTCTTCTGCTAGTTGTCTTCCTTCCAAAGCTATTGGCATCGGTGTGTCTGGCCAGTCTGGAGCCTTACTTGGGTAATGGGACTCAGGAGAGAGGAGCGGTACCTTGTGTGTTGCTGTTGTGTAGGAAGGAGTCCATTTGAATTCTTGTTGGTGTTGAACAAGAAGCAGGTTTAGCAGGGATCTGCACTGTTCCCTGCCTGCTCCATTAGTCCAGGCAAGGTACGGCATCTGCAGCCTGGGGTGTGACCTCTCTGTGCATGCCTCCTACCAGCAGGGACAGGAGATGCTATCCCTGCATCCATCCACTGTCTGTGCTATCCTCTGTTCTCCATCCCTGTTGGAGAGCTTTTTCTTTAAGCTTGCATCCTGTTTACTGCTGCAGTAGCTAAGGAACAGGAATGTCTCTGGTTCAGAGGGTGTTTTTCGATGTGGAGCTCTTCCAGAGGGAGCTGCAGTGTCATGGGTGAGCTGCAGTCACAGGAGCTGATGGGTGGAATGTCCAGAATGGCGCTCTCCCTCTTCAGCCTGCTCTGCTCCTATTTTTGTTTGTGTCTTGGGGTTTGGGTTTGGCTTTTTTTTTTCACTTGAAATACTTTATGGGTCAACTGTCCAACCCTAAGTTGGCAAATAGATATCAATGTGGTCTAGCATCAACAGGTGAGCATCATGGTGCCCTTAGTGCAAAAGCCCTGATGCTGAAGATGTGGGTCTGAAGAGGCCCTTCCTCCCCACTTGCCACCCTTCCTGCCATGGAGTGTTTAGCCTTACACATTGCACGGGTTTGAAGGAGCCTTTCTGTTTCATCTCTGAGCTCTTGGCTGTGGTTAAGGGTCTTCCCAGGTGCACAGCTAACATCAGTTTTAGGTGGTTGATCTTCAGCTCTTCTCCTCTTCTCTTCCAGAGACAGAGGAGTAGCAGGCTGCTGTGACTGCTGCTGTGACTCGAGGTGTATGTACACAGTTATAAATAGCACATGCTGCTTGAATGCTTTTCAGGTTAGTGAAGGGTAGTTTAGGGGAATTGGCCATTTGAAGCTTGTGATGGGCCTTAGTTCCTTTGAGCTCTCCTTGAAGTAGCTCTCTGTCTTCTCTCTTCTTGCTTCTTTTGGAAATGAGTGATCTGTATCTTGTTCTAGGCTTTTAAAAATACATTCATATATGCTGTGGTGAGCAGCCATGCCCAAGAACGCAAGGCAGTCGAGACTTAGGTACTGGGTTATTTTGGAGTTGAGCAGGACTGGTGGGGGTGAAAACCAGTTCTTTAATGATCTTGCTATGTCAATAAGTTAATGTGAAGCTGGCTTGACGTAGCTTGAAAATGGAATGCGAACTAGCAGCTGCCTTCACGTCTTTTCCCACGGGTAACAGTAACTTACTCCTTGTAGCTGCTGCAGAAGAATCACGGGATGAACCAGCAGAAGTGCAGCAGCTGGCCTCCCTTGTCTTGTAAGGGACACATTGGGGGTTTCAGGACACAACTGTCTGACGCTTCTTTGCATCATTGCAACTGAACTTCAGATAAGGACGATGGCCCTGCACTACTCAGGCTCACGTGTTAACAACACCCACTGGGGCAGTGGTGGGGTCAGGGAAGAAGGCAGACTATTCCACATGTTAATATAATTTTTAGAGGAATATTGCTCAGTAAATCTGTATAGGGAGAAGTGTTGAATGAATTGGTTGGTGGGAGAAGAATTAAATATTTTCCCAGCAATCAGTACCATCTATTAGGGATTGTCTCTGCCCCTCTCTACGTACCTCAGTAAGGGAAGAGGAACTTAATTTAGCTTTTTCACTTGACCCTGTGTCCGGAATCACCAGATCCGTCAAAAAACATGGGAAACTTTTCTGTGGATTGGAATTGGCATTGGACTAGTCCTAGTAATAATTGACAGCTTGTGGTTGACGCCTGTAGGACTCTCCTCTCTTGACTGACTCTCATTCAGCTGCTCCCTCTGGCAGGCTGCAAGCAGAATTTGAACTGGTTTTCCTGGAATAGCACTTCTCTCTCCTCCCAAATTTATTTCAGAGAGGGCTTGTCATCCGTCATGGATTTAGCTGTGTAAACCTGGCTGCTTTGGCTGAACTCTCAGCTAGCCTTATTTCCAGGAAAGCTGGCGGTGCTGCGGATCACCCTGTGCCCATCTCTTCCTGCAGTGCCATTCTGTGCTCAGCTTTGGTGCAAGTGAGCCAGCAAGTCCAACAGAATCACAGCTGCCCTTAAATTGAAATAAAACAAACAAACAGCCCCCAAAAACCCAAACACCCAGAAAGTATTCAAAGAATGAAATTGCTGATTAGAAATAATTCTTATTTTGTCCTGTTCTTCTCTGTTCCCCCGCCTCACTTGGCTGTGAAATGGTGATAGAGCAGGCAGCTGCAGCTGAAGTCTCCCCTCAGTCTGTTTGCTTACATAGTTGGGACTTTGCTATTTTGTTTTTCTTCAGTAACTTCCAGCTCATATGTTAGCTCAAGCACTCATAAGCTCAATTTAATTGCAGTTGTTTTCAGTACTGCTATCAAGTCTTCCTGCACACTGAGATGTCAAGTCTGAAAGCATCATTCTCGAAGCACCACCTCTTGGGTGACACCTCCCCTGCCCCAGCATGGCCTTTGCATGCAGGGTGTCTTCCCACGGCTGCACGCTCAACACCCACTCTGCTGTTGGGTTTTTCAGCTAAACCAGCAACTCCCTGCAGTGCACTCAGTGCAGTACAGTTTTCCTGGGGTCATGTGGCCAAGGTGCTTGGCTGAGGTTCATTTAGGTTTTGGGTCTGTTGCAGATTCTCTGTGTATCTTTTCTCCCCTTGTCGGATGTGAAGGTATCTTAGGGAGTGTTAGGAGTGCTAATGTCATGATGCTGATAAAACATAATTCCTGTGAGACTGACTTCCTTCATGTTGGGAAGGATGTTGAACCATGTGGCTAGTATCTGGAACAGGCTGGGCTCAATGGCTTACTGCTAATTGAGTAAGTAAGATCAGAATTAGACTGCTAAACATTGCTCTAGGACAGAGCAAAAGACTGGGATTATAGTGCTAAAAATTGCTTCAGAGGGGGAACTTGGATTTTCTGCTAAGTTGCTACCTCACAGTGCCTAAAATCCTGACCCTGGAGTCTCTGGTCATGTTCAAGGGTCCAGCTCTGTGCGTGCTTGAGCTACTGGTGTTGATGCATTTCCTAAGCACAGAATTTCATTCCCAGGCTGTGTGGCTGGAAAACATGTTGCTGGCACATGTGTATTGCAAAAGAGTAGGATGTGTCAATATAGCATTGAGGGTGTTGTTGGTTTTATCTCCATTATGTTTATTAACCTAGGTCTAACCTGGGTTCATTCATTCTGCTGCCTCCTTTCTGCAATTGCAAGGCTCAGTGGGAGAGCAAAATACAGGGATTTTCCAGTTGGCTTGAACTGATAGTCTTTCATCTTTCTCCAGGAACTGAACTTCAGTTTGATTGGAGAGAAGTCTTGATTTGTGAAAGCACGCCTCTCTTGTCCTGGTTTTTTTAATTCTTCCTGCCTGTATATTCCCAGTGCCCCTGGGAGTGCAGTGACTGCCTGGTACTCGGAGGAACTATTGTCGTGTCTGTCACCGTGGCTAGGAGATGTGTGTGGGAGCAGCAGTTAATGTGTGCAAAGGGCAGCATGCTGGGTGCTGAGGGTTTGGCTTGGGTTGATGTTTTTGTTTTGTTTTCTTTCATCCCTCCTTTCCCACTGCAGAGCTCTGATGCTCTTGCCAGGCTGGGCTTCCAGTGACTGTGAGATAATGGGCTTAGCAGATGCCTTCCCTTTTGTGCAGCTGGGATGGCTCCTCTCTTCCAAACCCAGCTGGGTCACTGTGTGAAAGGGTTTAAAGCAGGCATGCCTTCGTGAGTCCTGCTTGCCATCAGGGCCTTGTTTAGTGCTGGGGAATCGGACACAGAAGGCATGGGACACCAAAGACACTGCAGGTAGCGCTAACTCACTGATTCCCTAATGGAGCATAGTGTCATTGCTCACCTGAGATGTGGCTGACGTTCACAGCAGAGCTGGGATCACTTACTGGAAAGCACATTCTTGTTTACTGGCACTTTTGCTTACAGGCAGGTGAGTCTTTTAATGTCAGAAAAAAGAAGATGCTTACTAGCAAAGTTTTAGTGGAAGATGTTTTGAAATGGATTTACCCATAGGCTCAAAGATATTAAAGCATTTTCCTTGTTTTCTTTGCTAGTCTGTGTTTTCACCAGCCCTGCATTGGCCAGTGAAACAGGATCTACTGAAAAAATGTGAGGCCTTAGCCAGATGCATGTAGTCTTCCTTGACTTTATAAAACATATGTAAGATGAGGGTACCTCTTTGCAATGAGGACCAAGACAGCAAACTTTCATAACTCCCATAACACTGCCAACAAACACTGCCTTTTGTCTTGAATTACATATCAGCCAGTGGGGAGAAATTTCTGCGTAATGCTGTGAATAAGGCTTTTCTGTGCCTTATTTTGTAAAAGAGAAGGCTGGTTTTGTAGTGTTTCATGGTGCGTTTTTCTTTCTCTTCTTGCAGGTGAGGCTGGCGCCAGCATTATTCGAGTGTCAAAAGAAGCCCGGAAGAGGTTCTTGGGCCCGCTCCACCCATCTTTCAATTTGGTGAAGACCATTCGGATCTGCCTGTCCAAGACTGTGCCAGAGAATGGGCATGAGGTTGCAGCAGGACGTTTGGGTATTTCCCTGACACGGGTCTCTGATGGAGAAAACGTGATACTGTCAGACTTCAATTCCAAGGAGGAGCTGATCCAGGTGAACAGAAACTTACTGTAGAGGGCTAGGCAGGAACTGCATGCAGTTTTCTTTTGCCTTGGTCTCCAGATGTCCTTAGTAATGGTGTATGATTGTCAGCACATGCCAGTGTGGTGTTCTGAAAAGAGTAATAGTTTCAGTAGGCTTTGATCTGCTTTTTACATTCTGGATCTCTTTCTCCCTCAGGCCTGTGTCTGCAGCACCTTTATCCCTGTCTACTGTGGGCTGATACCTCCAACCTTGCGTGGAGTGGTAAGAAAGATTCTAAGATGTTCCTTCATTAAATCATGTACTAATGAATAAGAAGGCGGAAATGCTGGTACTCAGTTTTGGCAGTCTTATTGCCCCTCTGCTGGCAGCAAGTAGCCTGCAGAGGCGTGAGAAATTCCCAAATAAACAACTTCCAACAGTGGATGCGCCTTCTTTCCACTGCTGCCTGCAGTTGTCCCAATATATATGTATATATAAAAATGTCCCAAAGACTAGAGGATTTAACATGATAGTAATATATAGTGATCTGGGAAAGTGCTGGCTGGCTTAGCAGATGGTTCTCCTGGCTGCTTGGTGCAATGCTTTCTGTCACTGAGGCTCCAACCCTCTGCATGTGGAAAGAACTTGGGTCCGGGGCAGATAGCATGAGTGTAGTCCCTTTCCCATAAGCCCGACACTTTCTGCAGGGTTTTAACTAGTGGTGCTGATACCAGACCTCTTTTCCATGGAGTTTTTCCTGTCATTCCTCTGAGAATAATGTTCTTCTGCCTGCTAGAGCTTTCTTTAACGTTCTGTCCAAGGCTGTCCAGAGCAATTTCTCCCTTCTGTGTTTGCACGTTAGAAACAAAAACATTTGAAAGCTGCACAGAGCTGGAGGATCTCTGAAGCGCAGCCATGCTTAAGGGCCTCAGTTGAGCTTGGACTCCCCTTGTGCTACATAGCTTAATGCTCCCATTAAAAGGCATTTGTTTGCAAACTAAATAGTCAAAAGGGAGAGTGAGAACTGCTACTAATGTATGTGTGCCCTGGCTTCCTATAAGCGACTGACCAAAATGCCTCAGTCTGTCAGAGCACGGCATCAAATCTGCTCCCACTGCTACCTGTGTCCTAGAACTGAGGTCAGTTTTGCTCCTGTATAATATACAACTTGGCTGGTTTTGTCTTGGGCAAGCATATTGGGCAGGGAAATGACTTAGAAGAAATGTCGAATGTCCAGCCCTTCAGAGAAGTGACAGAATCAGTAATGATGTGGTATTTGCTCAAAAACTGTGGGCAGGGTTTTGCCCCACAGCTGGTGAGAACATAGCAGTGGCTCTTGCCTGACACCTCTCTGGGGCTAGTTGAGGTCAGTGTGGATCAGGCAAAATCTCAAAATTCCGAAACTGCATACAATATCAGGGTTTCTGGAATGTGCAGCTGCCCTGGCACACTGAGGAATGACTTCTCATGTCAATATTCCTCATGGGGAAAGGTGGGGAGGGAATATATGAGATGAGGAAACTAATTCCTACCTCTTCCCCAGAAAATCATGGCTCTTTGTGTCTCTGAAGGGGGACTGACAAGGGGAGAGGTTAAACTATGTTGGGTATAAGCCTGGGAAAAGGCTTTGAAATGGGACTGCATGGTTCCTAGCATGCCTGTGATAACTGTATTTGCCACAGGACAGACTGACAGGCCTGGCATGAGGACCAGTTTTCAAGGCAATATGATTGTGTGCAAGGTGTAAAATCCACATTCTGCCTTCCTCCTAATGTTTTTCCAGTGATCATTTCTCTGAGCTCTGGTAGCCCCATGGAGTGTATGATGAAGATGGGTGGGGGAGAAAAAAATATTTCTCAAATACTGAGAAATGGAAGGGTCAATAACTGACCTGTGCATGTAACATGCACTAGTTGTGAACTGTCTGTGGCACATTGGGTGAGATGAATCCCTAATAAGGGTCAAAAAGCTAGTTTTAAGTTCATGTGAGTGGGGGGAGGTCATGATAAGGAATGGAACTGGGCACCCCAGAGTTGACCCCAGTCCATGAACCATCCCCCAAAACTGCTGCTGCTCATGCCTGCAGGCAGCTGGGAGCTCCAGCCTGTAGCTCTGTGCTGTTGGGGGGTTTGCAGTAGGTTGGAGAGTCGTTAGTCTTGGGTCACTGGAGATTCAGGCAAATCCAAAGAAGTGGCAGCTGATCTTGAGTAAGAAACGGTAATTGGCATTGCTTGGGGAATGGTGGAGCAGAGAGCGGGGTCTGCACGCGTATTCCCAGATTTCCATGCAGTGAGAAGGCTTTGCCTGTCAGCCTTACTGTTATTTAGCCTTCTTTCCAATAGCATCCGTTCACTTATGCTGCCACCCTCAGGGAAACATGTGTTTCTGCATCCTTAAGGCAAAACTAGTGTTGTCTTAGCTAAGTGGCCAAAACACAACTCCATCTTTGTTTAAACAAAGTGGGTGTCTGGCACTGTGCTGCCTGCTTAGCTCTGTCCTCTTCCCACTCAGCCTGTCATGGTCTCATCCTTGCAGAGGGAGTCAGCCAGGTGTCTCTACCTCTAGCTGTGCCTTGTCTGGCATTCAGTGAAGCTTTGATGACAATGACAGTTTGTTATGGTTGCTTTTGGGTTAGGGAAAACTTTAAAAGTGGGCAAGGGTTCAATTGATTTTTGGCACCTCTCTGATCTAGAAAGCATCCTGTAAACAAGCTGAGTGTTCCTGTTTACAACAGGGTGTACTTTGCCTTGAGTTCAATCTATCCCATCCTTCCACTTTCTTCACTGTCCAAACCCAGGTGGTGCAGGATTCACTAACTGTGTCTTGTCTTGATACTGTGTTTGGTGAACAACGCCTGACATGAGGATGAAATGCCCTGTGCTATGCGTTAGTGCTACTGTAGCCTACAACTGTAATCACAAGCAATCTCCCTTGAACCTGTAGGCTGTAAGCAGAGGTAGCCCTGAGGTTTAGTTTGCCCCCAAGAAACCCACTGTGCAGTCCACCCTGACGCTGTTGCCTTGATGGGAGCTGGATTCCTATAGCTAAATTTGATTGCTTTCAGCCCAAAGAGCCTATGAACTGTTCTGCAGGCTCAGAGGAGCTGCTTGAAGAGGTGTCTGTCTGCCTGCCTGCCATCCAGAGCAAGAGAGAACAAAGTACAAAAACACACTCTAGGCAAAGCAGCCAGCATTTTCCTAGGCACTGTGCAGCAAAAGACCGATGTTGGTGGTCGGTCTACCTGTGAGATGAGGCAGAGCATGACACAGAATAGAGTACCTCCTCTTCCAATCAGCATTTCCATGCTCAGCCTGGGTTCAGCCTCTGCCAGCTCAGCTCCTCACCCAGCAGAGCTGAAAGATGTTATAGCTGCTGCTTATGGGGCTGTGTAGCTCCTGATGATGACTTGCACTTGAACCCATCCAAAGGGAGGGGTTCCAGGCAGCGAATGGCAGGATCAACCCTGATACAAAATCAGGACGACTCTTCTGTAACTAAGGTTCACAAGAGCTGGAGTTGTTACTCTGCACAGGTTAAAACTTCTTGCTCTTCTGGCTTGACCAATTGTCCCCTTCCTTTTATCTTCTGCATGTTGCTTGCTGTGCCACAGGCCTGTGATAGGGATTGTCTTGCTCAGCTCCTTGGGCAGTTATGGTACTTCAGAGAATACTTTGAATTGAGTACATGTTACTGGGGTTGTCCTTCCTGCAAGGGTAACGCAAATGTATTTATGGTACATAAGTACAGAACACTCTCTGATAAGAGAGTGCCTGTTAAGACTGAAACCCAAGTCCCTCGTACATTATTATCACACAAGCAGATTCCAAACGTGCATGCATGTTTTGGGATTGCTGCTTGATAAGCCTGCTAGCAACAAATCAGCTGGTTTTACTCTTAGTTTACTATTAGTGCACCAGTGGGAACCTGTGTCTGAGCTTATTTGTTTTAAACACAAGTGAAAAACGGCACAATGTCACAGTGTGACAACTTAGGTCAGTGCTAATTTGTACTGCAGGTGGTTGTTGGTGTGTCGCTGTTTAATTGTATAGCAGTCAAACCCCATAGAAGATGTAAGTCAGCAGTCACACAAGTGAATATGCCTTTCTCATTGAACACTTGTGACCAACACACTTGACTATAGGAAGAAAGGCACATAGCAAAAGGGTATTATAGACAACACAGCTGTGCTGTCACTGGTTTTCATTCCTCCAGTGCTGGTGGATGTACTCCATTCTCTACCCAAGTTGTTGAAACAAATATGAACTGGGACACAGAGTAAAAAATAGGTGCTTGATCTGATATGAGAATGAATCTTGTCTTGATTTCAGAGATACGTTGATGGAGGGATTTCTGACAACTTGCCACGATATGAGCTGAAGAACACAATCACGGTGTCTCCATTCTCAGGAGAGAGTGACATCTGTCCACGGGACAGTTCCACAAACATGCATGAGCTGAGAGTCACCAACACAAGCATCCAGTTCAATCTTCGCAACCTCTACCGCCTCTCAAAGGCCCTGTTTCCTCCGGAGCCACAGGCAAGTTTCCTGGCAGCACAAGAACTTGGGGACAGTAGCTAGGCACTGGCTATACTGTGCACTTTAGCAGAAGAAGATTCCAGACACTGTTAGTTTTGTATCACTTGTTTGTCTGTTTTTTAACCTTGACATTATCAACCTAGTGACTTGGCAAAAGTTGACCATCTGCACAAGGTTGTATAGGTCACTTGATTCTCTTTTGCTACTGGGAGATCTGGAATTCAGGTGGTAGCAGTTGCTTGGAAAGTATTCCCATGTGGCTTTCTGAAGTGGTGTTTGCCAGGAACTCAGGCTCACTTCTAAACAAGGATTTATCAGCCATTGGAACCAAGGTGCTCTTGAGGTTTTTTTTAAGGTCAGGATGGAGCTGCCACCCTGAAGCCAGTGACTGTCTCCTAAAAAGTGCCAGTAGAGCAGGTGGCACTGCAGACAGCTTTGCCTGCTTCTGAGCAAACACCGCCTCAGATAGCCCTGGCATTTGGGCATAATAAGCATGTATTCATGTGCTGCATTACTTGGACAATTTTTTCCCTGTTCCTTCTCTAGTCTTAGATGGCTTTATCTGTAAATGCAGTGGCCCTTCCTGGCATTTACTGGGAATTATTCTGGGCTGCTTGTCAGAGTGACTTGCTAAAGGATGCACACAGCAGCATCAGCTCTAGATGGGGAAATGAGGTGGCTATAACTCTAAGCCTGTGCTTAGGTAGGATTCCAGATATCTCTTCCATTCTGATTTATCCTGTGACTCCCATATCCAATGTATTTGTGTTATACCTCCCATTCCTCCTCAAAACCTGGGAAGAGCTGGCAAGGATGAGACTTGTCCTTGGGGTAGTTCAGGAGTCAGGAGAATTCCTCTAAAGCCAGCATTGAGCTGGGTGGTTGCTAGGCTCAGCCAGACAATCTCAGTATGACTTACTCTTGCCTTCCTCTGCCCACAGGTGCTGCGGGATATGTGCAAGCAGGGCTATCGGGATGCACTGCACTTCCTGAAGAAAAATGGTAAGGCTCTGGGTGTTTGTAGGGCGTACTGACTTGCCTCTTCTGTGCCAGGCTTGATGGCTTGGCACAAGCCCATGGTGCCTATGAAAGGTGGAAGGGCAGAATTGAGCTGTGCCTCAAATACTGGAATATGGCATTTCCATTAATAAGTCTATTTTAGCACTTCACGAAGCAGAGGTGGAGTGGGCACCTTTCCAGCGCAATGCAGAAGGACTCTAACCACTCTGATACCAGAGTAGTGGCTTTGGCACAACTGAGTGTTGAAGCTATGTGCTCAGTGCTACACCAATACAATTTTTAGGCACTGGTGCCATTTGTGCGTCTTGCAGATACCCTGCTCCTTTTTATGTGCAGCTAGGGTATGTCTAACGTGGCGCAGCAGTGCAGAGTGCAAGCATGCCCTCAGCAGCCCCCAGCGCCTGGCAGTTTGACACTGTTTCACACTCTTCTATGTGCAACCACTGGACTTTCTTGCCTCCAGCTGTTGTACCAGGTTGAGTGTGTGTTTGATGCCACCTAGTGTCAATTCATGGCAGAACAAGCATATTTGTTTACTTTGTGATGTGTGCCTTACTGGGATAAGAGCAGCCATGCAGCTGTGTTTGTGGGTTAAGCTGCAGGAGGTAAATTTTACCTGCAAGGCTGGTGACTGGCAGATTATAGCAACAAAACACTGCCAAACAGCACCCTGCAGTACTTAAAGGGGAAACGTTAGAATTTCTGGTGGGGAAAGAGAGGATGATGTTAAAGCAGCAAGGTTTCTAACTCCTTGTGGTAAGTGTTACTAATAGATGCAAGCTAAAGGGGCTGGGTATGATGTCTGTCTGAGGAGGGTAGAGTGAAGTGAGGGCTAACACTGTAAAGGCAAGGCAGGGCAGCTAGTTTGTATCATCCTTATGGTATGACTTCTCTTCTTAGGTCTTCTTCATCGTCCCAGTCCTGCCCGTCCTCTCCTTGCCATAGAAGCCCCCCCAGAAGAGAAGAAAGAGGAAGAAACAGAAGCTGAGGACCAACTAGAGGATAACACTGCCCTTGCTGTTGTTGAAGAGCATATCTTTGAACACTTGCCTCCCAGACTGAACCAAGGTATGATCCAAAGGGAGAGAGCCCAGGCAATCTTCCTGTGCTGCCTGGTCCCCTTCAGAGCATTACTGGGATGTGGGTATTGCTTGTGGCTGGGCTTGGCCATACCTGGGGATTGAACTGGCACCCGCTGATGGAGTTGGGGACTCTTGGGTAAAGTTGTAGCTTACCCTGTGGAGGCTGAATTGGGAGAGTGACTCATTTGACTGTGTTCTGCATGGTAAAGAGAGGAAAGGATATTGATGCTCACTCCTTTAGGAGTCTGATAAAGCTAAAAGCTGCTGGTCTCAGCTGTGCTCACAGAATTACTACCCTGAGCAAGACTTCATTAAGAAGTGGAAGGTGGAGAGGGGAGAGTCAGGCTGGGTAACTTCTGGGGTATGACAAGAAAAGGCATAGTCCCATTGGAGGGATTCAGCCATGTTCTCCTCTATCTTCAGCTCTTCTGGAGGCTTGTGCTGAAAGAAGAAGCCTCTTGACTGGTATCACCAACATGCTGCCTATACGTGTGGCCACGGCAATGATGGTCCCCTATATGCTGCCTCTGGAGTCCGCAGTTTCCTTCACTGTCAGGTAGGCCTTCGACTGGTTCCCTAAGTGGTTTTCTTCCCAGTGCAACCAAGTGTTTGATGTAGCTGGTGGAGCACAAATGGACAGAGAGTAGAATCCTCTCTAAGACGAAAGAGTTCCTGTCACTTACCAGATGTGTGGGGAAAAAAAAATATCCTACGTTCATGTGTCATTTAGCTAAAGCAAATAATTCCAGCTTGAAGGAAGATAGCTGTGTGCTAGAACTTGCCCTAGAAGGTGGTGATAAATTTTGGAATGTGAAGAGAGATTTCTGAACTGGGAATGCAGGGATGAAAGTAGGAACTGCACAAGGGGTTGTTCCCCTCTGGAGTAAGGGGTAGACTAGTCCCAGCCATTTCTAGCTCTACACTTACATCGCTGGGAAGACAGGTCTGTTCAAACTTGGTTTTAGTACAAAGTATCCTATGAAAAGTTTCCAGAAGGAGATAGTTTGTGATATAAAGGCTTAGGGAAAAACAACTTTCAAATCTGAAAATAGATGAAAAATACAGGAAGTGCAGACACAAAATGTAAAGAAAAAGTTCCTGGGCTATTCTCATCCATCACAGCTTTTCCCCCTTAATTCTGTGAACGGTGGTGTAAATGGCCCTTACTGCATTTGTCAGTAAAAGTAATGAGTAGCCATTAATAGGAGGCAAAACTGGTATTATTTCCATCCTATCCTTTGTGTGGCCCAGCTAATGGTTGTCTCCTGTCTCTTCCCAGGTTGCTGGAATGGCTCCCAGATATCCCTGAGGATATTAGATGGATGAGAGAGCAGATGACTGAAATCTGCAACTATCTTTTGAAGAAAGCCAAGAAGAAACTGGGCAGCCATCTTTCAGCCAGGTATGGATACTTTCCTCCACAGCACTATTCCAGAAGAGCCTTCCATTTCCTCTTCCACCTTTGATTTCTGCAGACTCTACTCCATTGGTGCAGAGCAAATAAGGCACAAATTGACCAGAAGGATTTACTGCCCAACCTAAAATACAAATCTGGTCCATGGTGTCTTGGTTTCATTAACTGTTGGGATAGACATTAGCACATGGTCTCCTTCCTTCTTCCCATTACAGGAGAGACACTGTAATGAAGCTGTTACTATAGCAACAGGGCAGAAGTTGTAGGTCTAATTAAAACAATAACTAGCTTATTCCGTGCTCCCTGTAGAAAATAAGTGCTTGTCTGCAAGGCATTTGCTGGCCCAGGGTCCCCTACAAGTTCTTTCCAACAGGTGTTTGCATTCAAATGACCTTCTCTGCCTAACTTGAGTTAGGGTGGAGGAGACACTAGGGTGTGGCCAGGAAACACCAGAGGGTTTCCAGATGAGACAGAGTGCTTTGGGTCTGTGTGTGCGCCAGTGCTTCTAAACTGAACTCCATGCAGCAGGCCGTGGCTTGAGGCTGAGGCAAGACCGTGTTCCTTGGATAAGGATAGGAAACTGTATTAACAGTAGTAGGCAGAGGGTCCCGGCTGTGATTCAGATCCAGGTACAAGGGGGTGATTCTTACCCACAAGAGCTCATGGTCTGAATAGTCAAGAAATGTGAGGGAGAAAACAGGCATGCACAGAGACTTCTGACTAAGATCATGCAGTCAGTGGTAGAACAAAATAGCTCTGTGGTTCTGGAGATCTGGTCTGGTGGCCTACTCAAGTCTCCCCATGTACTGATTCTTTGCATGTGTTTGCCTTTCAGGCTTTACTATCACCTTGAGCTTGGAGGGCCCCAGAGCCTGCCGGTTTCTTCCACACCAGCTTGTGGTGAAGCACTGCCTATGTGGATGAGAAGCAACCGTTCCCTGTCTGATGTCATGATGAAGTGGGAGGAGTACCAGCGCCAGCTCATGCTGGGCTTACTCTGCATCAATGTGGACATGCAGGCCTCCCTCTTCCCTCGGGAAGGGTTTCAGATAAAGTTTCCACCTCTAGACTGTGCAAAAGAGTGCCTGCCACTCTTCTGAGCCTGCTGCTGTGAGAGGATGAGGGTGGGTGGGAAGGAGAGTGGATGTAGGGTGGGACCAGTCTCATCCCTCAGCAGCAGGACTGCCCTGTGCTCATGAATATGCTGCAAAGGAGATTTCCCCGGGATGGAGACTGGTGGAATTGACTGTAGCCATTTGTTGCCCGCTGGGCCAGGCAAGGGGTCTCTGTGTTCAAAGGCACACGAGCTCCAGACTTGTGTTGAGGCCTGGCCATTGCCCGTGGCCAGGCTGATGCTGACCCAGCTGGGCTCTCCCAAATAATGCACTTTGAATTGCCGTTGGCTTTTTACCGCCAAATAATCAGGACGTAGATGACGCTCTCAAGTTCATACAGCTTTTAGCTTCCTTTGGTTTTTTAGAGCACGAGTCTTGTTTTTTCTTAAAGCATCTGACATCTCTTAGCTCTTTGTGCTACTGAAAGATGAAGTAGCCTCTTGCCAAACCGATTTTTCTCATGTCTTCCAAATCTCCTCTTGACTTTCTTTGCTGAAGCCATGTTCTTTCCTCTGTCCCTTAACTGCATCCCCACTGGAAGCCAGAGCTGGCCCTGCTGCAGACTGCACTGGGACTGCAGAAATGTAGAAAAGTTATGTATTTACCCTGATTCATGTTGTCATGGTGTCCTGGTTTCTCCCCCTTTTTGATTTTTGTCCTCATAGAACTTCTGCAGCTTGAGTGTTAAGTAAGTCATTGAGCTTATTTTAAAGAAGTAATTTAGACAGGTTGTTTTTTGTCAGGGAAACGGTGAATTTGAGGCCCCATTCCTGTCACTGTAAATGGAATTAATGTGGGGTTGCCCTGGAAGAGCTCAGCTTACAGCTGAAGCAAGTGTTTGTAGGAAGGTGAGATTGTGCAGGGCATGTTATTTTTGAGAGGCTTGTGGTGGAGTGTCACAGCAAGTGCTGGGGAAGTGGCTGCCTCTGACCAGGGGTTGGGCTTTGCCCCTTAAGGGACCATACAACTGAAGGAAATTCCAAGTGGGCAATACAGAAGGGGTCTCCTGCCAAACTGGGTTTGGCTTTATCTTTTGCTCCAAGAGTTTGGACATTGAGGCTTTGGAGTGAGAAGGAGGTAGGCTTGTAGCTATACCAGCTTCATGGCTTGCCTGTCTCACGTTGTGGCTTGCATGTACAGCTCTGCAGCTGGCAATAGCAGGAAGATGAGAAATGGAAGTGAAGTTAGGGGAGTGGTGGTGCACACACAGCCTGCTTGGAACTGGCTACATTTCTCTTGTCCCTTAAAAGACCAGAGCTAGTTGGTCTGCAGCAGGGCAGGACTCTGCCTGGTAAGGTATTGCCTTCTCAATGGGTGTCTGGTTGCGACTTTCTGTGCAGAAGCATGAACTCTGTTCTTCACAGGGTGAGACACGGCTTCCTGTGGGGATTGCATGTACTTAAGCTTAAGTCCTTGCACTATGACACAAAACCAGCTCCTGGTATCTTTTTCTGCAGCATGCCTAGCTGCATGAGGCGTCTTCTACCTCTCCTAGCACAAACAGTATGCAACTGGCCAAAGCAAACATACGCTCTCTTTGCTGGGGAGCAGGACAGGGTATCTGAAGCTGATTACATAGCCTATAGGAGGAATAGTGATTTATAACAGACTCTCTTTCGCACCTTTGATTTAGAAAGGGAAAATAACCCCAGAAGTTCTACTAATAGCAGGAGAAAGTAGTGAATCTGCTCGATCGCATCTGCATGAGCAGCGTGGGTGAGGTGGTGGGTGCTGTTTCCTACCAGCACAATTGTGCACTGGGCGTGAGTTTGAGTGTTTGCGGTGGAGACTGTGATAAGCATCAGGACTTTTCTGCAGTGGCCATTGCAAGCTGTGAGGCAATGTACTGGGCAGCTGTGGTGCTAACCGACTGTCTGGGAGACGCCCGTGCAAATAAGGACTTGTGACTTAAGAGTATCACCCCGCTGCCCTTCCTGGATGTAGCCTACCTATGTAACACAAGGGCCTGCATAGCTTATGAAGCAGGCCTGCGCTTACCCAGTCAGGTTTAGTCTTAAGGTTCACATAGTTAATGCAATTAGGTAACAGGGAAGTTGCTATGGGAAGTGAAAAAAAAATAATGGAGGATTCTGAAACCAGAATTGGAATATTGGATTATAAACCAAGTCAATCTTGTGATTGTCTAAAGGCTGCAGAAAAAGCTTGCTGCTAGATGGCTGTAACTCTAATTGAAGTGAACCAGCAGCAAGCTACCGTTGGTGGGAGCAGAATGGATTCAATGAAAGTTGGAATTGAGAAAAGATGATTATTTTGTGGTTTGCTATGGGATTTCTTTCTTCCACTGCTTTGGGCTACTTTCTTTGGGGGAATGGCACATGCACAGCTGCTTAGTTTGCCAAATGCATCTCTCTTGTCCCTAATGCACACAGAGCAATTGGCAAGAACATATAAATATTTTGTGGCAAGAAATGAGGGTATTTCATCCAGAAGCAAAACATCTGTGAGGGGCAAAGCTGGATGAGGAAAATCTTGTGCTTAGAAGCTGCTGCCCTTTTGACTCTGCCTTGTTTGTGTTAATATATGGATGGAGAAAATGATGCAACTATTTTTTTTTGTTTTTAATCCCTTCTTCCTGGACTGGTAAAACCACTGAGTGATTATGTAAACCACTAAACTATGAAACAAAATTCTCTTGGCAACAGAGTATGCTAAGAAATTGCAGGTTGGCACCCTTATCCCCTGGAAGTCCTCTGTTCTCCTCTTGCATCAGAACAGACTGGGCTGGTGCCGCTGCCTTACAGTGCTCTGATCCAGAAGGCTTGCTGGTTCTGGTCCATGCATTTCAACAGACTAACCGCTGTGCCTGGTGAAAGGCCCGAGTTTCATTCTGTGTTTCACCTCATCTATCATTTATTTTATTATAATAACCTCTCAAAGAGAAGCTTTTGTGCACTTCAAACTAACCACAAACCAAAGCCTGGCATTAAATATAAAGGCCTAACTCTTCAGGGAGGAAACTCCTGTTTTCCCTATGCTAATTTGCAGGGTGTGAACGGATTCTGGGAAAGCACCACTCTATTAACACTTTCTTTGCCTCTGTTTATTCCCCAAGTGATGCAATGGCTGTTGTGTGATAGCTTGTTGGCTTTAAAGATTTAAACTCTGATAAAGGAACTGAAAATCTGTCAAATACACCCCAAACTACTTTCCTCTTCCTTAAGAGAAGTTTCATGCATTTGCTTGAAATTCTTGCTGCTCATTCATCACAGATTGCAAAAGATAGAGAAAGTAGGGAAGATCTTCTAGCCCGCTGGTGCCAAAAAAGGGCTGTGGCTGCTTTTGAAGAACAGCTTTTTGTTATGCAGTACTGCCTTGTCTAGATAGAGTTCGCTTCTTTGAAATCCCTGGAAACCTCTTGATAGGCTCTGTGTTGGACCTGGAGGGGTTTATTGTGATAGTACTAACTGGCATCAAGTTCATGGGAACAAGGTAGCTGTCTGTAGCAGTCAGTCCCTTCTTCAGCAAAACGTGTGGCTGGGCAGCCCAGCAGGTAATTGCCAGGACCTGTCTGCTCTCAGGTATATGGCGGTTGAGATGTCAGGTTCCTGGACCAAAAGTTCATCTTGCAGTCCATGTCCAATTGTCCTTACAGCATTCACTTGAACTCTGCAAGAGTCTCAACCCTTGCTGTTTCCAATTCTGTAAAGGGCCTGTGTGTTCAGAAATCCACTTTTTTTTTTTTCCTCCTTCCCTTGACACAGATACCGCTTGCTGCTTTTAACAAGGCTAAGATGAACACTTTGTGCATCTAACCAGCCCCTAACCTGTACAACACTGTAGAGTTATGTTGCGCACAACAGTCCGTATCTATGGCATGCTCTGTAGGCCACGATGCGTGTATGGTATGTTGGGTTTGGTTTGCTGCCTGCCCTCCTGTTAATACTGTTGCAAGCTGATTTTCAAGGGGTAGGAGAAAACACTTCTGACCACTGTCTGTAGGACCTAGAAATTGTTTTCTCATGACTTCTTGGAGGGCTGTGTATCTGCAACACTCAGACCAGAGAATAAAAGCAGATCTGCTGTCTGCCAGCACTGGGGTGTCCCTAATACCTACTGTATATTCCCTGCTGGTCTCTGTGCTTGTTGCCCCTAGGGGTCCATTCTGCTAAACACATGCTAAATGTGGTGGGTGGCAGGGCTGAGTGTTGCCAAGTCCGAGGGCCTTGCCAACAGTTTTTTCAAGCTTTGTTTCCTTTTTCCCTTTAAATCAATGAGAGGATGGACCACCTCACCCGGCTGCCATGTCAGCCAGTTTATTTGTGCCAAACACGCCCTGTGCCTTTACAGTGGGCTCTGGCCTGCCTGCCCTCTGTGTCCCTGTGGTGTCTGCCTTTCTGAATGTAGCAGTACTTGTTCCCCTCTCCTCTCCCTCCTTCCCCTAGCCTACCGGTGGGACATTGCTCTGTTTCCAATCTGCAGGCAGCTCCACTAGGATAATCTCTAACTGCATCTGTCTCGCTGTGTGGATCCACATCAGCCTTCTTGCACAGGGAGGGGAAACCTCTCATTCCAAACAGAAGACTTAGAAATGTAACTTTTGAAATAAAAACCTTTTTCTTCCGGGGTTTTCTCTTGCTCTGGAAAACAGCATCTAAAGCAGCTCTTTGAGCTAAATGTGCCCTGGGACTCTGCTGCTGTCGCTGAGTTTGAGAAGACCCTTAAGCACACAATGCACGTGGAGATCCTGTGGAAAAGACTGATGTCAGAGCAGCAACTAGACCAGCAATAGCATACACAAGTCATCTATTTACACGGCAATGTCACTAAGTAGTGTTCACAGTCACTTTAAAAGTTCAGTATTAAATTGTTGATGCTTTTTTTTTCTCCTGTTTCTTTTTTCTAATGTTTTGCTGAAGAAAATGTAACTATTTATTTTGGCAGAAATATACCTTCTAATAAAAACTTTCTCAATATATTTACCTGGCTGTGGTAGGTTGCTTGTCTTGCCATTTAAAGGTTTATTAAATAGTTTTTGAATGCACTGTACGATGTGGGTTTGTTTTGCTGGGCCCTATCCAGTTTATCCTGTTCAAAATCCTCTCAGGGTAAACATGCATCAGCATGCCGTGAATGGGGTACTGACCCAGAGGTGAAAACCAGTGCCTTTTGGTCATGTTCTGACTTCCGTGAGCCAAAATGCCCCAAATGATACTCATCGCATTGCAGCTTCTGGGTAGACCCCGGTTTCCAAGAGGCATTAAGTACCATCTTGTGGGAACTGCAGGTGCTTGGCACCTGCGAAGGGATTAGCAACGGATTATTTACAAAGTTGAAACTTCTCCAGTCTTGATGCTGGCTGTTGTGTATCTGTCTATTTTGGTTGGATACCAAGGTCTTCTCCGGCAGCCCTTGGACTCTGGGAAAAGCCCACGGACCCATGCATCCCCCTCCCCTGCTGGGCTGCGGAGCTGGGATCCCCAGGGGTGGGGAAATAACACCCCACCGTTGGGGTTTGTTATTGCGGGTGTCCGATAGGTGCTGCAAGGCTTGGGGTTTGTTTTTTTTTTTTTTTTTTTTTCTCTTTTTTTTTCTCCAGTCTTCCGGCAGCCTTGAAGTGTAGGAAGATCCTGTGTTAGGTGCTATCGCAGGGCAGACACAAGTGCTGGAATTAGTATTACAGCGTGCAGCTGAAAACAGTTTTTTCACTTCTAACGACTGCAAAACCCAAGCATCCCCACTCGGTGCCGTCAGTCGCTGAAGTTGATCTTTCTTCCATAAATCACC